CCCTCCGCTACGGCCAGCACGTCCTCCTGGGGCAGAGAAGTCGCTTCCTGGCCTGCAGAGGACGGCCGTCGGATCATCTTCCTGAGGAAGGGCGGCGACAGGAGATACAGGTCCATCTTGAGTTTTCGAGGACCGTCAGTTTTTAAACTTGCTTAAAATATCAGATGCAGGACCTGCTTTTAGTCGAAATCGCGAGTGAGCTTCTTGACCAGACAAAGGAAAAGCGACCTTTCTTAGCGTGTGCAGGAGGAGGCCGACGTCCCCGATTCGCTATCCACACCTTGCCCGTGACGTTGGTCAGGAGAGCTGTGAGTGAAATCAAGTCAGGTGCCGTTTTTACTGTTATTAAGTAATACAATCATTTGTCATAGCGGAGGGTAGTGCTGAGGAAGAAAAATAATAGCAAATTCATATGTAATCCTTCATGATCTTTAGAGATTGCAAGTGAAAGGGATACTTTCTGCAAACAATGAAAGTCACAAACGCCGCAAACAAGTATCAGGACGAAGTGCCAAGAAACGAAACAGAAAGCCGTGTCACTCACCACTATGAGTAATGTCTGCCAACGGTTGCGAACGGAAGTGAGCAACAGCGCTTGCTTGATATATATTACCTTCTCAAAGGGAGGAGTTGTGACAGGGTGTGTGAAGGGTTGTGAGAGAGGCGAGGTTGAGGGCGAGGGTTTCTCCAGCGTATTGAGGATGAAGCTCGGGGTTTCTCCGAAGCCCAAAAGAACGCCGCGCTTCTTAAAGCGGGTTTCGGCGTCCTTCTAGGCCTATGGGCGGTAACGGTGTGGGTCTAAGACTGGAATACGGTATACACCACCAGGAGGAAGCACAGCAGCACGGCGTACGTACAACCAAACAGCTGCCTTTCGACGGCGGCCATGCCAGGCAGATGATGCACGATCTTTGGAAAGAGATTCGACGTACTCTCTTGTTGGTGCTTGTTCTTATTTCTTACACACGTATATTTAGAAGGGCTAGGCCTCGGACGAGATGTAAAAAGCAGTCAGGAAAGCCATCCAGATAAGGGAAGCGGAGAACAGACTCTGACCCTCGACAACTGGCATAACGAAACCTCCCTTATCCTTGGTCGTGGTCCGACGTCGCTCTTCTATTTACAAGACAAGTGTTAACTTCCGGAACTCTCAACGAACAGATAGAGGGCCACAAGGAGACCGACGAGCACCATGCAGTTGTGGAATAGGCTCACACTGTCGCTGTCCTTGGGCATGGTGGCTGCCCTAGAACATGGTGCCTTCGAGGATCACGTACAGGGCCACCAGGAAGGTCACCAAGATGAGGTAAGTGAAGGCGATGCTCTTGTTCTCCTCCATCGTCGTTCAAGGGCGAGTATTTCTCCACGGGAGCGGCTCAGAAGAAGGCGCTGTCCAGGACCAGGTACAGCACGACGAGGAAGGTCAGCAGAATGGCATACGTGTAGCCCAGGTTGGCGTTCTCCATCTTGGTTTACGTTTGCACGACTTCCTTCTTAATTCCTTTTTTAATCCTCTCGTCTTACTCCTTTCTCACTCCCTGTGGCTCTTCAGAAGGCCCCCTGAAGGAAGAGATACAAAACCACCAAGAAGGCCAACAGGATACCGTACGTGAAAACGAGGGACCTGTTCTCACCGGCAAACATGGCGCCCCGGAACTCTCCTTATCCGAAAAGAACTTCACAGCTTTCCTTTTCCCTTCGCTCTTTATGTCCTTTATCCCTTTCCCTTGCGTGTGTCACTTTCTTTCCCTTGCTTTGTCTTCCCCTTTCGGACACACCGCTCACATCACTTCGAGAACGACGTAGAGCACGGCCAGGCAGGCGAGGAGGACGAAGTAGGTGCTGGCGAGGGACTTGTTCTCCATCGTGGCGGCGAGGAGCACTAACCTCCAACAATGCTTGTGAGGGAGGGAAGGCAGGCGGGAGGCGCTTCGAGGTGGGGAAGGGTGTTGGAGGAGGGAGAAGAACGGGTGCGGTCGCTGGAGAAGGGAGAGGGAGAGTTTCTGTTTAAGATGAGATTTTGAGGGAAAAAAAGGAACGAAAAAACAAAAATTGGTTGGAGCGAGTGAGAAAAAAATACGCTGGAGATGATGTCTTAAAATGTATATAAAAAATACTTAAATTACGTTAATGAGGTTAGGGATCACTACATAGTCTAAAGGGGGAGGGGGAGGGAGGGTTAGGGGGGGGGGGGGGGGTGAAGGGAGGGAATCATAGGGAGGAGAAATACCCTACATGGCTACTTTCTTCTTAGAATATTAGACCTTCCAAAAACATATATAACACCACTAGAAACGCTATGAGAATAGTATATGTCATAACGAGGTTGACGTTCTCCATCGTTTACAGATAAAGTCTACCCACAGATGGCACAAAGACGCAGGCTCTTGCTCTCGCTCGCTCTTGCTCTTTCTCCCGTGCGGGTATTCCTCGGGCACGTAGCGTCGTCGTCGGCGAGAATGATGCCCCGCAAGACCGCGTCGCCCCCTTAAATAGCCGCGCGCTAATTCCTCCCTCCCTCCCCTCCACCACCACCCCTCCCGCTCCCCTCCCCCCCTGTTTTCTTGCCCTCTTATGCCCCTCTCTTGTTCCCCCTCCCTTCTTCCACGCCCTCGCTCCCCCCCCCCTTACCCCTTTTCTTGCCTCTAACCCACACCTCCCTCCATCCCTTCCGACCCCCTACCTTCCCTCCCCTACTCCCTCCTCCTCCCCTCTTCCCTCCCTTACTCCCCTTTATCCCTCCCCCTGCCGCCCCTGACCCCGCGCCCCGCCAGAGGAAAATTAGCCAAGACGCCGTTTCCGATGCGCTTCGTCCTTCCGGAATCTTTCGTTGTCGACGCGGCGCGTGGGCGGGGTAGGCTGGGCAGAGAGGGGTGGTGGGGGGAGGGACGTCGGTGGGGCATTGGCACGTACACATGCACAGTCGCCGGAGGGGGGTGAGGGGGTAATGAGGAGGATGAGTGTGGGGTTGGGTGGGAGAGAGGGAGGGGTGTGGGGGAGAGGTTGCGGGGGAGAGGGAAGAGGAGGGGGTGTGAGAGATTGGGTGGGGTTGTGGGGAGAATGAGGGAGGGGGTGGGGGGTGGAGAAGGAGGGGGGACGTGCTGGCAAGTGGATGGAGGTTCGCGACGATAAATTGCAGCCAAATAGGATCATAATGACCCGAGGCATACCTGGCGGCGCGACGCGACCCCTTCCCTCCCCTCCCTATGCCTATTTTTTCCCCTTTGACCTGCTTCCCTTCTCTTCCCTCTCCCCTTTTCCCCTCTCCTTCTTTCCTTTCCCTCCCCTTTCCTTTTCCTTTTCCCTTTGACCTGCTTCCCTTCTCTTCCCTCTCCCCTTTTCCCTCTCTCCTTCTTTCCCTTCCCCTCCCCCTTCCTATTTCCTTTTCCCTTTGACCTGCTTCCCTTCTCTTCCCTTTCCCCTTTTCCTCTCTCCTTCTTTCCTTCCCCTCCCCCTTCCTATTTCCTTTTCCTTTGACCTGCTTCCTTCTATTCTCTCTCTCCTTCCCTCCCATTTCCCGTCTTCCGTCCATCTATCCATTCCTCCTTTCCTTCCTTACCTTCCTCTCCCCCTTTCCCTTACTAACCTCCTCTGCCTCCTCCTCCCTTCCTTCCTTTACCAAACCATCTCTTCCTCCACCTCCGTCTCCTCCTCCCTCCCTCTTCCTCCCCCTCCTCCTCCTCCTCCTTCCCCCCTCCTCCTTCCCCTCCTCCTCCTCCTCCAATCCTTCCTCTCTCTCCCCTCCCTCCTTCCCGCCCTCTTCCTCTAATCCTTCTCATCGTCCTCCTCCCCCTTCCTCTTTCCCTCCCTCCAATCTTCCTCTCCTCCTCCTATCTCTCCCATCTCTCCATCTCTCTCTCTTCCCCTCCCTCCTCTCTCTTCCCCTCCTCTCCATCTCTCGATCCTCCAATCCAAGCCTCTCCCGATCCAAGGTCACGATACCTGTCAGAATCGAAAAGAGATAAATAAAGCTCATTGCCACGTCAGGTTCGATTGCCTGCTTGCACATTACGCAATCTCCTTCAGGGCGCCCGTACACGAGGCTGTTCTTTGGCTTTTATTTCCTTTTCTTATTATCTATTTCCTTCTATTTCCTTTATTTCTTACTTTTATTATCTATCGTCGTCTATGCTTCACTTGTTCTTCGTTTTGCTTTCAAGCAAGAAAAAAAATGTATAAAACGTTTGTTTGTTTTTTGGTTAGGTACTGTATCAATCTTCATTTGCCTCTTCTTATACTGAATTATCTTTATTCTCCATCTCCATCTCTATCTTTATATCTATTCCATCTCCATCTCCCTATCTCTCTCTCTATCTCTATCCCATCTCCATCTCATTAATCCATTTCCATCTCTATATCTCTATATCTATCCCATCTCCCCATCTCCATCTCCTCCTTCCCTTCCACCACCCCCGTTCCATTTCTTTCTTCTTGTGAGTTTCCTTCTCACCCATTTCTTTGTCTATGCACCTGAAGCCCTCTTTCCTGACGCTGACCTGCGGCTTCAGTATCCGGTATCCTGTGTTATCGGACGCCTTCTCTGATAAAATCCGATTTCTTCTCTGAACATTTATCTTCCTCCCGATAACCTTCGATATCTTGTTCCGCGAAACCCAATTTTTTTCGACGTTGTTATTGATTTGATAGACTTTCTGCGTCCTTTTCCATATCAAGCGTCCATGTATGGGTCTGTCTGTCTGTCTGTCTGTCTGTATTCTCTCTCTCTCCCTTTCCCTCTTTATCTACCCAACCATCTATGTATCTTTCTTTCTCTTTCTTTCACCCTCCCCTTCCCTCTCTTCCCCCCTCTCCCTTTCCTTCTTCTTCCCTCTTCTTCTCCCTCTTCCTTTCCCACCCCATCCTCCTTTAACCGCAGCGACTCTCGAAAGTGCGTTGTTCGCTGTCCCAAAAATATGATTTCAATCTGCCAAGCACGTAATAAATACACATATAAATTTCCACAGTTCATCTCGCGACCGATTCACTGCTGGTTTTATTCTGCTTATATTTTCGTTTCTGCTGCTGTTGTTGTCGCTGTTTTATCCCCACGCCAAAAAAAAGTCATGCGACACCCTGCTGTAAATTTTAGCTTTGATCTATTACACAGCAGCTCGGTGAAAAATATATGTATTAAACATTTTTTCAGGGAGGCAGGGCGGAAGAAAGAAAGAGAAAACGGGGGAGGGGGAGATACGGGTGGAGAGGGAGAGGAAGAGAGGAAAGTGGAAGAGAAAGAGAATACCCTCTCCCCCACCACAACTACCACCACTACAATCACAACCTCTAACACTAAGCTGCCCATCTGTAAGTTAATGGACAATTTCATCACTTTATACATCTCTACCCGACTGTTCCTACTTACCTACCTGCGACCACTCCGGTCAAGCGACCTGTTCCTGCATCTATAACAGCCTGGATATCAGCAGGTCAAGCCGACCATATTTCTGTCGGCCTGATTATCTAGCAACTCTTCCCGTGTGGCCTTCGCTCTCCTCCTCTCCTCCTCAGTGCCCTGCCTCCCCTCGCTCTCCTCCTTTCCTGCTTCCCCTTGCTCTCCTCTTCTCCTCCCCTGCCTGCTCCCCTCGCTCTCCTCTCCCTCCCCCTGCCTCCTCTCGCTCTCTCCTCTCTTCTCAGTGCCCCCTCGCTCTCCTCTCCAGTGCCTGCGCTCTCCTCCTCTCCTCCCCAGTGCCCTGCTTCCCCTGGCCCTCGCGTCTGCCTACCGTATGCGTCCTCATCTACCTTGCCCAGCCGCGTACTTGTTGCCCCCACAGAGTCAGGCAAGGTCAGCTGTTCCCTCCTCGCTCCTTCGATTTTCCTTTTCTCTCCCTCAATATCCCTCCTCCTCTTCTCCTCATTTCCTTTTCCTCTCACTCTTTATTTGGTCTCTTTACCGTTTTCTTCACCCTTTCCCTGTCACTTTCCTTCTTTCTCTCCTCCCTCTCCTCCCTTCCCTTTTCCTTCCTTCCTCTCCGACCCTCTCCTCTTCACTCTCTCTTCCTTCTTTCCCTTTTCCTCTCCCTCTTCCACTCTCCCTCTCGCTCCTCGCCTCCTTCGCGACGCAGGAAACCGGCCAACAACGCCGTGACTGCAGCGTGCTCGGAAGGTTCTCGTTGCCGCGAACAGTGCGCTTGCTCGTATAAATAGCGCAGTCGAGGGAGGTCAGCTTCGGGCCAGGCGAAAGGAGGGGAAGGGAGGGAAGAAGGGGGGGAGGAGGGAGGGGAAAGGGGGTAAGGGAGGGGAAAGGGGGGTAAGGGAGGGGAAAAGGGGGAAGGGAGGAAAAAAGGGGTAAGGGAGGGGAAAGGAGGGAAAAGGGGGGAAGGGAGAAGAAGGGAGGAGGAGAGGAAAGGAAGGGGAGGAAGAAGGTGGAGGAGAGGGAAAGGGGGAGAGTGCCCACTACATCCATCTTCTCTCCCGCGGTCAGTCCTCTCAACCCCAGTACCGTCCACGCAGCCGCCTGTCTTGCACACATGGCACTGAAAACCGCCCCGAGCTTTGACCTGTCACCATGCGAAAGGTACATACGCAATGTACTAGTGCCATTGCCGAGGCATTTAAACGCGCACACGGCCGCACGCGTCGACGTAGAGTAAACACCTCGTACTAATTGCCATTCATTATTCACTGCCACCGAACCTCACCTGCCACGCCAACCCGGTCATTCATTCATTTCACTTACCCACGACTCGCGATATATCAACCATTCGTGGATATACTATGTGATCTTTCGGTCTCCCTCTCCTCACCTTCTTCTTCTTTTCTCACTTTCTCTCTCTCTCTTTTTCATTTCTCTCCCTCTCCTTCCCTCTCCCTATTTCAACTCATTTCATTTCATTTCTTTCCATTTCATTTCCATTTCAATCTTTATCCCTCTCTCTCTCTCTCTCTCTCTCTCTCTCTCTCTCCCTCTCTCACGCTCCGCATGTCCATATGTGCGCGCGAGTATATGTGCATCTACATTTTTGCATGTCTCTATAAGTGTATGCGTGTACGTACTGTGCGTACTACTAAATCTAAAATGGTGTAGAAATATATATACGTGCGTTATCCCGGTTGATCTTACGTCAGGAGAAAAGCCTGTGACCTTCCAATGCCATCCACAAATATCAAAAGAAAAGAAAGAAAGAAAGAAAAAAAACACGGTCTTTCCTTCAGTCTCTTTTGAGGCCGTTTTTCCTCACTGGGCAGAAACGCGAATGAGCCACGGCTAAATCTGACGGCTAAATTTCCTGCCGGCTAAACAAACACACTAGAGCTCGACGCCGGCCAAGCCCCGGCAGCGACCCGGGATTGTTGCTGAGGGCATTGTGTACGCCGCCCGCCACGGCCGCCCTCGCGCCCGCCCGGCCGCCCTGCAGCACTCGCCGGAGGCTCCTCGGAAAAGGGTGTCGTTCCCTCTTTCAGGCCTGCTTAAAGCGATGTCTAAGAATGGTCTGATATTTTAAGAAACGGAGGGAAAAAGGATAATTACTGCGAGTTTAGTATAAATAGTACAAACAGCTC